GAATACCAAGCTGCATGAAAAGTTAAAATATAGTCTCATGACAGGTACTGCCCTGGACCTACCTGACTTACCAAAGGAATTCAGATTATATGTGCATGAGAAATAAAGTACAGACCTTGGAGTTCTCTTATAGACACTGTGAGACATCACAGCCAGTGGCCTATTTGTCAAAACAGTTTAACCACAYGGCGAAAGGATGCCCTGCCTGCCCGTGGGCAGTTACTGCCACTTGTGATTTACTAGAGAGGCTGAAAAGTCACTCTAGGACAACCCATCCCTGTGTTTGTCCTTCACCAAGTCTAGAACAGCAGGGTAGCTAGTGGTTAACAGCTGCAGAATGGGGAGATACCAAGCCATGCTATTGGACAACCCCAATGTCAATTTTAAAATTGTGTCCACCTTAAATCCAGCAACACTGTTTCCTTTAGATGATAATGGAACAATATAACATAAGTGCCTGGAAATCTTAGAAATTGTCTACTTTAGAAGGTTGGACTGGTCTGATCACAGAACTGGTAACAATAATAACAGGTCCGCATAGGTTAGCAATACCAGCAAAAAATCAAAGGATAGCCTTAAATCTTGTACAGTTGGAAAAGCATTAATGATCAAAGCTAGACTTAGTCAAGGCAAACAGATATAAGCCAGGTCTTCCAGTGGCAGTGTGGCCCTTCTATGTCAGATGAAATGCATCAAGGGGATCACGTATTACTTACTTTCATGGTAAATCTACATAAACTTTTATATGACACTTAGACAAGGCTAAGACAGATATAGTTCTCAGATATATACATATATCTAGTCACTTATATTTAGGGGATAACTATATTGTTATCCCCTGTTTAAGTCATAACTATATTTTCATGACCTAAAATAACTGTTGTTTATTTAACCAATTATGAAGTAATCATTTGAAAGACTTTAAAACAAATACAAACTCGGTCTGGGGTTGTGGCTCAGAGGCAGCGTGCTCACCTACTATGCATGAGGCACTGGATTCCATCCTCAGCACCACGTAAGAATAAAGTAAAGATATTGTGTCCACCTAAAACCAAAAAAAAAAAAAAAAAAGATATTTTAAAAAAATACAAACTCTAATTCCTTTAAGACTTAGTTTCCTAAATAATAAAATCTACAGATAAAAAGAAAATTACCTCAATAGATAAGAGCAGATCAATGTTTCAGACTATGCTTCATATCAGTATGTTAAAATTTAAATAGCTTTAAATTTTAAATTTAAATAGCCAATATAAGCACACAAGCTTTTTGAGATGTACCACAAACCTCTGCAACTTATTTCCATCCTTAGTTCTATCCTCCCTTTCATCATGGATTTTAGCATAATATTACCTGGCCGTACAAAACTCTTCTCATCCAGAAACATTTTTTTTAACCTTCTATTTTTCCATTCTAAAATATATTTCTATGTCTACAACCTTCTTATATCTTTTTTCTAGTTTTAGATCCTTTTTAAATTCATACTCTGAAATAATTATTATCAATGTTATCTGTGCATTTAATTCACACACAAAAAATTTTCTCTCAGGAGAGGAATCAGAAAATCTGACATGAACAAAAGCCATACCTTGGTCTTTTTTTTCCAAGGTTGCATTCAAGGAGTTGGAGCACAGGATATTTTTGAGTCTAACCAGTCTCCCTTATTATTATCACAATGCTTTAAGTGAGTTCCCCACTGTCATTTGTACCCAGAGACTCCTTTGAGCATTTCCTTTTCTTTTTTAAGGCTAGGCATATTGGTATGCCGTGGAGGAGGCCCTTTCCATCCTTTTCTTTAGGCTTCCTTGAAGATCCCTTTGTAGATGCTGCCAACAAAACATGGGTTGACCTTAGTTTGCTTTTATCTTTTCTGGGTGCAGTTGTTTATCCTCCCAGTCTCCCCATACATTTAGTTTGATGCGTACTGTCATAGCCATGTTGCTCTGCCCTGGTGATGGACATCTCCTGGCCAAATGGGGTGTCCCGTTAGACCTTAAAAGAGGAGACTAGCCCAGGTTATAAACAGTGCTGAAAGTGTTGCCACATTCTTTGTGGCCAGCAGCCTCTAAATCCCATCAGCAAAGGGGGCTGGAAGTCAGGTTCTCTCTGACCATTTTTCCACATCCCAGGCAGCTTTTCTCAGACTTGGGCTGGCGTCCCTGATCCACAGGGAGTAGATCGGCAGCTACCTGGGGCCAGACTGAGAATCAAGGACCTTGAACACCAGAGGCAGGACCTTGTACACCAGAGGCAGCGCCTGTGTGCATCCTCAACTTAGTTCCTGACTGTTCAGACTTCTTATAGTGGGATTGTATAAATGCCTGTGCAGACAGAATGTTTTCCATATACTTCACCTCTGACAAACCAACTCCAACTCCCAGATCTTTCCCAAGAGACTATCTACAGGATCAACACAGGGTGCAGTGGTAAATACCTGTAGGCCCTGCAACTTGGGAGGCTGAGGCAGGAGGATCGCAGGTTCAAGACTACCCAAGGCAATTTAGAGAGGACCTAGACAATTTAGCAAGCACCGTCTCAAAATAGATAAATAAATAAAAAGGGCCTGGGATGTGGCTCAGTGGTTTACTGTCCCTGGGTTATATTCCCAGTTTCCAAGGCCAATTACTTCATTCTTATGGTGGGTGTGTACAGATAAGTCTGCCTAAAAGGGGGAAGAAAGATAATCTTGTTTTCCCTAAAATTAGGGAGGGGGAGAGATTAGGGAGGAGCAGGGAGAGAGAAAGAGAAAGAAACTTGACCTTTTAAAAAATAAGTTGCTGTGGCAGAGCAGCAAGGGCTATATTCAAAGCATAATGTGGACCAGTGTTACATTATGATTAATAAAAGTATTTTCTTCTCCTACAAAACCATAAAATTAAAAATAGGAGCACCTAATGGGTTGAAACTTATGCAAACATTTGGCAAACCCTAGCAATATACCTTAGAGCTAGTAAGTGTTTAACTGTGACTAGCAAGGGCCCCACTATATATGTACCAACAGAATTCATACAAGTATCATCAAAATTCTTGAGGAACCTCTATGCCAGTGCTGCCCACGATCCTCCAAGCTGAACGGCACTCACATGCTGTATTAATCTGTTTCTGTTGCTTTAACCAAATATTTATGGGTAGATACTTGATAAAGAAAATACATTTATTTAACTACAGTTCTGGAGATTCAAGAGCATGGTGCCAGCGTCTGCTCAGCTCTAGGGAGGGTCTCACAGCAGATGGAATCACAATGGTGGGATCACATGCGAAAGAGACCACAGAGCAGGTCAGGGAGGGAGAGACAGAGGAGATATCTGCACTTACTGTAGGACCACCCATTCTCATGGGAGCTGATATACTCCAGGAGATCAGCATTTGCCCCTTCAAGAGTGACTGCCCCAGGACCCAAGTCCCTTCTCCTTGCCTCTATTTCTCAAAAATCCTACCACCTAACACATCCCACTGGGGACAAAGCTTCCAACACATGGAAATGAGGGCAGAAATACATAAATCATAATCAAACTAGCGCACATGTGCATCAAGAGAGGAATGCTAGAATTAATTGTTTGAAATTCCTTCAATTGAACTCTGTCACCAATAACATTGAAAAAATACAAATTTCAAAGCACATGAAATTCTCTCAGTCAAATATGAAAGAGTTCATGGCAAACCATTCCCTTATATTGAAAGAATTCCCCACACAAAGACACTTCGCCGGGAGAATTCCAATTTTATTGCAAAAGGCTTATATAGAACTAAGGGGGAGATGGTAGGGCTTAGATAAATGGCAGGCCACCCGTTTATTGGCAAGTTCTTCCAGATATCAGCTCCGGAGCCCAGGAATTAGTTCTTATTGGGGCTAAGTTTCCCCGCCAGCGAGATTTGAAATTAACGCCGGCGGGAGAGTTCACACTGGCAGGAACTTTTCGTGCCATTGCAGAAAAGAGGAAGGTAGGAAGAAGAGGTCTTTAGGCGCCATGTTGGGGTTTTTCTCTGGGGTACGGCTGCCGTTTATACTTTTCCCAACATATATAAAATATAAAAGAGGTGAAAGTGATCTATGCTGTTAGATGTCACATACTGGTCACTCTTGGGGACAATTATGAGAGAGTCATCTGGACATTGTTTTCCCACAGAGGACCTGCATGTTGTGAAATTTCACTAGTAAGGAATGCTTAACTTATACAAAAAAAAGTTTTTACAAATACCAGTGGATTTAAAAGTCAGTTGCAACAAAAATATATTAACTTCCAATGTTGTATAATGTCAAGGTGGATAGTAAATCAATTAAATAAATTTATGGCCTGATTATGTTTTGGAAGGATAAAATGTAGCATTCTGAAACCAACAGAGGAACAGCAAAATAACACACGTCATAAAGAGAGTGTTAGTAGATCATTGTTGCCCATTTCAATATTATATGGAATATATAAATCTGATTTCCCTTTCTGTAGGCAAATATTGCTTGACAATGGTCACTTTGATTTTTATTTCAAGAGTCTAAGCTAAGAAACAAACATGTATGTAGATAAATGAAAAACATTCTACTTGTTTTAATAACTAAATCATCCAGAACAGCAGGAAAATATAAGAGAAAGTAGATTTTATGCCAAAGTATTTTTTTAGTGAAAATAATGACATTATTTATTTTTATTTTTAAAATTTGTTCTACTTAGTTATACATGACAGCAGAATGAATTTCAATTTACTGTACACAAATAGAGCACAACATGTCATTTTTCTGGTTATACACAATGTAATGCCAAAGTATCTTGCCACTGTTATGATTAGTATTATATTTAAATCTGAAATTTACATTTGTTACATATCCTTTTCCTGAGTTTTTACTTGACAGATAATAAATATAATCCGTTAAATGCATACACACATACTCATGTCACAAATACACATACACTCTTACATACAGACATTTTTAATATACATGCATATGTATAAAAATCATCATTCTCATATGATATGACTATGTAAGGGTGCTTATAATTTTGTTGATATTAACAATAAACAAGCATTGTGCCTAACCTTAAAATATACATGTTCATCATGACATCAGGGGTTTTCCTCTTTTTTATCCAGGCAAAGGAGATCCTGGAAGCACTGGAGTCCCTGCTCATGAGCAGAAAGGGGTTGACAGCTAGGAAACACCCAGGAACTATTGCAGCTGTGTTCACCAAGAGCCAGTGGGGATTATAAACAAGAGTCAAACAACCTGGAAAGATGCAGGAAAGTGTGTAAAAGGAGACAAAGGTGCTCACCAGGAGGAGGATGGTTTTGGTGGCTCTGGACTCAGGGGATGACCTGGAGGAGCTGGTCTTGTGAAGGTGCTGCATTCTCTGCTTGTGCCTGTGCAGGATGAGCACCATGGAGCTGCTGGCCCAGAGCATGAGCCCCACACACACGACATCAGGGAATGTTAGCAATGCTGCAAACAGTGAGTCTGTGGATGTGTCATGACGAACACCAGAACAGTATCCAAAATCTTTTAGGATTGTGATGTTTTTGTTGCTTTTTCTCCCAGTCATATATATAAGAAAAACAACATTTACAAGGAGATATAGGATCCAGCTCAGATATATGAAGGAGCCAGTGTACCTGGAAGCCTTCACTTTAAGCTCTGCCCACCTGGAGTCACCAGGACTAATCTTAATGGCCTGGAAGACACTCAGGAGGCAGGTGCTGCGGCGAATGGACACACCCCTGCCCACCCTGTGAAGATAGAAAAGCATCTTGCATCCAAAATCACTGAGGAAATCTTTTTTTTTTTAAGATAGAAGAGAGAGAGAAAGAATTTTTTAATATTTATTTTTCAGTTTTCAGTGGACACAACATATTTATTTTTATGTGGTGCTGAGGATCGAACCCAGTGCCCCGAGATGCCAGGTGAGCGAGTTACTGCTTAAGCCACATCTCCAGCCCCATCACTGAGGAAATATTTCACTCCAAAAGCTGCCATGTCTGGGGAAATCCTTTACACAGGAGAGCTAACAAGTTGGCCACAATCAAGTGCTGAAGAATCCAGTCTGTGTTTCTTACCCTGCACCCAGTGAAGTAAAGGACCAGGTAATGGAGGAGAAGAGAGGAATTGCCCAGAGCTCCAACCACAGTCTGTGCCAGGAAGATGATGCCTACAGCCACATCACTGGCTGCCATCCTGCCAGTTCCCTGCTGTCCCATCCAGAGGGTCCTGCAGGGGAACAGGAAGCCTGGGCTGCATGTGTCCTGTCAACCAAAACCCAGCATTGCCCCACTCTCCAGAGTTCCCACTGTGAATATTTGATTCATATTTTTCCATTACAATCTGATTTTAATGAGGCTTGTGTCAGTTTTTAAAATCATGAAGTGGCTATAAATCCTTGCTGTGAAGGCAGCACGTGGATCTTCACAACATGAGGGAGGTGTTGAAATGGCTTTGCCTAATGACAAAGAGCTTTGGGGTGCAGGGGTGCAGTGTCTGTCTACTGTCATACTCCTGTGAGGGCTGGTGCAGGATCCTGGCACCGAGTGGTATCTGAGACAGTACAGTCAACCACAGGCTTCCCTAAAGCTCAAGAGCAGCCTTCCTCAAAGAATCCAGTTCTGTATAAGCTTTTCCTTTCCTACGTGCCTATCATATTCTAAACTGCTGGTGTTTTGAGCTTTCATTGAAACATGTTTCGATTTGCTTGGAAATAATTATTCTCCAGGCCAATGTCAATTAGGGAACATTGAGACTTTGTATTAATGAAGAAGCTGTGAAGGAACTATAATCCTGCAGGCACTGTCCCCTGATGAGTTATGTGCAGTATGAGTTATGTCCTCCACGTCAGGACAGCTATCACAGTACTCACTTGGTTGTGTTAGAAAAGCAAGCACAAGAGCTTGCTTGGAAAAGACTGGTAATGATCACCTGCCACGTCCTAAGCTTTGAGACATAAAGCACCAACATGTGATAAAAGAGTTCAAGGTAGAAAAAGTTGTTATTGATTTCAGGTGATACAGTCAAGTGTTATTAGTACCTGCTTAAGCACAACTATTTCAAAGAAGCAGAATTTTTGGTGTATAATATTACAACAGGAGTCCAGTGTGCTATCTTGCAAATGTGCAGAAGGTCTTGTGGTTTTAAAAATTCAAATACCAGATTATCACCTGTTGTCCAAATGCATATATTTCACAGACTTTTAATTTAGAGTAAATTGAGAATCACAGAAAAACTGAGAAGGTGAAGAAATCCCGCCTTCACTATCAAACTCCTAGGCTTGATGTTATATTTGCTACAAATCAGGGGACTATGTGTAATCAGGTGAAAACAAGAAGATATTATGTGTGACAGGTGGAGATGGAAACCTGTAATGATTATGTTCACTATTTCCTACACGTTCCTCACTACGTAGAAGAGGGAAAGAGCCTCACCATCAGCATAGACCACTGACGGTTTCAGAATTGGTGCAATTACTGTCCCCATGAATTGCATCATTCCCAGAACCAGAGGAAAATTCTTCTCAGACAGTCACTGTTCAATGACACTTTCTACAAAGGACTAGAGGGTTTCTGTAAATTCTATGTGGTCTTTACAGCAAGCATGAAGAGATTGTGGGTCCAGCTCTAGAAATCCTGAAGATTTAGATGAGGATTCTTGTCATGGAGCCTGAGCAGAAGATTCATTTAAGAAGAAAATCCTCATGAACATTGAAAATTAGTGTTTAATTCAGTGACAGAATGGTGATCTCAGTGCAGAGGCCTCTGTGACCAGGGTGTGTGTTGCAGGGAGGTGGCCAGCTCCGGAGATACGGGTCTCTGACTCTGTGACCTCCCCTCCCCTCAGACCTGCAGTTATCACTGTGCCTGTAGCAGCAATGGTGTGAAGGCCAGGGCAGCTGAGTTTATTTTTTGAAAACTTTTCCCCAGGTGATTTTTATCAAAAGCAGTTACATGTTTCTTGGTAGCATCTCTTAAGAGGATAGTGGAGTGTTTGGCAAGGTTCTTACTCATCCTTGATCCATGGAGGCAGAAAGGGTCTCACTTGGAGGGGGCAGGAAATACTGAGGTCTGTCATGTGAAGGACTGGCCGTGAGCCATGTTCCATTTTATTCCCTGCTTCCCTGAGAAGTTTTCTACCCCAAACGTACTTGCTTCCCATTCTTTATCTTCATGAGAGGCACCATCATGGAAGGTATAGGATAGAAATGGAATGAGACAAAACATGTGTGAAGGATTTAGAACGAACACAAATAAACAGAGAGAGAGAATAATGCTAATGATTTACCTTGAAAGCCCTGGGATTCATCAGTACAAATAAGTGTCTATTAATTTTGACTCATTTGCACAATTCAATGCCAATTCACACCACATTTTTGTGAAAAAATATCTTCTACCAATATTATCTTCCAAAAATATCTTCTACCCATTCTTGACAGGAAGGGTAAACAAAAAAAAAAAAAATCCATACAAGAAACAGGGAATGTTTTCAAGGGTTCCTTGTCATTGGCAGTAGCAGGATGAGATGGTTTTAAAGGCAAGATGTACCATTTCTGTAACTATCACATGGGCTGGTGCTACTAAAACTCATGCAACAGTCTCATTTTTTGTAGTTGTAGATGGATAGAGTGTCTTTATTTTATTTATTTATTTTATTTTTATTTTTTTTTAAAGAGAGAAAAGAGAGAGAGAGAGAGAGAGAGAGAGAGAGAGAGAGAGAGAATTTTTAATATTTATTTTTTAGTTCTYGGCGGACACAACATCTTTGTTGGTATGTGGTGCTGAGGATCGAACCCGGGCCGCACGCATGCCAGGCGAGCGCGCTACCGCTTGAGCCACATCCCCAGCCCTATTTTATTTATTTTTATGTGATGCTGAGGATTGAACCCAGTGCCTCCCACATGCTAGGCAGCCGCTCTGTCGCTGAACTATGGCCCCAGCCCGCAAGGACCATATTTACAATGAATCCTCTTAATCAATGCTGTAAGGCTCATAATTCAGGTCCATGCCTGTGGTAGGAAAGCAGGCAAGTTTGGGGCAGTTACTTTGCATGGTGTTAGAAGTGGGAAGAAAGAGGACATGGGAAAGGGGACATGGGGCTGTGATGGTTAATCTGAATTGTCAACTAAACTGGATTAAGATCTGTTTAAGAGACTTCCCTCGGTCAAGGAGGGTGTTTCTAGCAATGACTGGCACATAGGACAGCAAAGCAAGGCAGACCCACCCAAAATGTGGGCCGCACAGTCCAACAGGTTGGGGACCTGGTTGGATCAAAGACAGTGCAGGAAGGAGAAAGCAGACGCAGGCGCAGGCGCAGGCTCGACTCTTCACGAGCTGGCACTTCCATCGCTGCTGTGGTCGCCTGAGGACATCAGCATCCAGTTCTTTCCCTCTTCCAGAGTGGACTCTGACCGGTGACTCCCCAGGGGTTTCCAGGCCTTTGGTCCTGGGCTGGGGCTGTGTCATTGGTCCTTCTTTTTGTGAGGCTCCAGCTTCTTGAACTGAGTTCCTGGTGCCTCCAGCTCTCCAGCCTGAGACAGCCATTCTGGGCCTCTTTAGCTTCTGGTTTTATAAGCCAATCTATTAAGTCCCCATTTCCAACTATCCCTACGTACCCATCCCATGTTTCTGTTCATCTAGAGAGCCCTGACTAAAAGGGGGACAAGTTGGTGTTAAGGATCCTGGGATGCTGAGGAGAGAGCACGAAGGAGGGTGGGTGGAGGGTGGGTAGAGGTAGGAAGGGCAAAATGTTATAGAATATCCAGAAAAAGTTAAGGTGCATGGCTGGGTTTCAGCCTAGGAGGCAAAGAGCTGAAGGATATTAAGGACATGGGTCTTCCAGGCAACAGAGACATGGTGAGCATGGTTACAAGGGACTTCAGGGGCTCCTGTGGAGGGGGAGTAGGAAGGAACCAAATTGAAGGTCACTGATTCCTAATACTCCTAGAAGATTCACCGTCTCTGAGGCACTTGTGCATACATTTGGTGGTGAGTTGTAAATACACATGGGGTAGGATGTCCTGGATTAAGTATTTGTCCAAACAGGCCTAGAGTGTCAGAAAGAGAGGGTGAGTTTGAGTAGAGGCAGCAGACCTTAGAGGGAGACTAATTAGACACAGGGCAGAGGGAGGTGGAGGGGGGTAGTAGGTGGGGAGAGCTAAGAAGGCTGTGACAACCAAGAAGAACAAGAGAAACCTCAGAAAATCCCGGTAAAAAGATATTCACTTCCAGATTTTACAACTAATTATGAGGGTACGGTTTTTACAACCCTGTGGTATAACTGGAGGATATAAAAAGATACCAGTGAAACCCAGGAAGGTGTCTTGACTTAGGACCATGCATACATGAAAGAAATAATACAAAGAGCAGTGCACCTGAAACAAAATGGAGGATAATGGGATTGGCTGTAATTGGTTTGAGGTTTGAATTGAGAGTTGGGATTCCTGAAAATGAAAGATTAGACATTTGGTTGCATTGGCTTAGAGGCCATGGGGAATAGCCTAAGGTATTGGAATTGGAAGTAGTTATCACAGAAAAAAAGAAGGATCCTGGTGATGGGTTTTGTATAAGTAATGGAAGGTGGTGGTGGGGCTGTCTGAGGTCCGTAGGATAGGTCACAGAAGGATAAGTATTAGATAGGTCACAGGACACAGGTGTGTGTACATGGTTATATGGGTGCAGAAGAGCACAGGTTTTTCAGTAGATGACAACCACTGTCTCTGCTATCTGCACCATTTACGCAGAAGTATATTTCCAAATACAAATTTCTCATTGCACAAATGATTTCAACTTAAGAAGGAAATTAGGTAAGTCACATAGTTTCATCCTTACTCTTTTATATACATTAAGGCAAGATAAGCATGATACTATTAATCCTGTCAAGTTGCCCTTTGATTCATCTTGGCTAATTGGAACAACAGATAAATTCCACGGAAGCCGTGGAATCTCCACTCTCCATCACTTGATGAGTCACCAGCAATCCTCCTCAGTGTTAAATTCCGGGAGACGCCATCAAAGGTTGGTGTAGGCTCTCAGACCCTTACCTCCCCTCGCTAGCTGAGCCCAGGGATAGGGAATATTCCTCTGCTTGTCCCTCTCTGCATGGGGACTGCTTCTACCCTGGAATCCCTTTTGCAGACATGAGCACTTAGCCAGACCGCCTGTCATTATCCACTCTGCCTCCCAGACAGAAATACAAAACACTCACCTGACTCTTTCCCTCTGGACATGGTGGGCTCAGTGTGAAGTTTGGAGAGCCAGAGTTGAGGCAGAGAAGCAGCTGGCCCCGATATGAAGGTCTGGGCTTTGGTGACCTCTCTTACCCTCAGAACTACTAGGATCATTTCAGCTGTGGAGGCACCTTTTCATTTCCCTCCTGTAATTGAGATCGGGTGCTACCTTTCTTGCTGTGTCTTGTATTTCACTGAACGCAGTGACCTCCAATACTATCATTTGTTCATGAAAGTTACAGGGTTGTATCCACTTTCATGCTGAATAGGTTTTCACTATGTGTGGGTACCATGTTTTCTTTATCCATTCTTCAGTAGATGGACTCTTGGCTTGTTTCTGTTCTGCGGCTACGGTGAACAGTGCTGCATAAATACGGAAATGCCTCCAATGAGTCCACCTCATTTTCTTGAGGTAAGTTCCCAGCAGTGGGATTTCTCTTCATATGTAAGCTGTATTAATTTTTTGAGGAACCTCTGCATTGATGTCCATGATGGCCGTCATAATTTACATTTCCACCAACCGTGTGCAAAGGTTCAGTTTTCTCCTTATCACAGTGACCTCCAATTTTATCCATGTTCTTGCATGACCATCTAGTTCCTCTTTCCCAATTGGGATGCTCTTTATTTCTATCTTTTGCCTAATTCCTCAGTCTAAGCCTGTTAGTGCTATGTTGAATAAAAGTGGCTAATGTGGGTATCCTTGTCATCTTATAGAAGGAAATAAATTTTTTCCAACAATCTAAAAGGTTTGAGAAGTGAATGCTTGCCCAATGTCTTATGAACAGAGCTTGCAAGACCCTTGATTTCAGCCTTCTGATACTGCAATGGGAGGGTGAAGCAATGCCTTCAGATTTCTGATCTATGAGCCATAAACAAGGCTTTTGTGATAAGCTGCTAGATTGTGATAAGTCAAGGCAGTCATATAAAAATACACATAGAAAAAATTTTAATGGTGAAGCATTCTTAAAATGAAAGACATGTTTGCCATTTCTTTTTCTGTGATCAATACTATTTTGATCTTTGGCACTAATGATTTTCATCACTAAGGTATGTACTCCTGCACTTTTGAGATATATGTGCTCTTTTACCTGAATTTGCTCTATACATACACACACACACACACACACACACACACACACACACACACACACATCCCTAACATTTTGTCTGGGCTCAGTATCTCTGATGCAGAGAGGGCAAGATTCTGACTTGGGACTTGGTATTTGCCTGAGAAATAGGATCATGCTTTCTTAGTCCCTTTCTCCTTATCTTGAAGAGTCACACCTGCAGTTTGAGAATATGCGATCACATGGCATAAATCTGCAATTCTCTTATGGATTGAATTGTGTACCTTCAAAGTTTGTATGTTGAAATCTGAACACCCCCCCCCACCTCCTCACATGTAAACTGACAGGCCCCTGGCAGATGCGTCTCCAGCCCTGTCATCTCCACCCTTATTCATGCTCAAGGTCTCTCTGTGCCCCGTTTCCCTCTAACTCTTTGACTGCCATTTTTTTTTTTTTGAGAGAGAGAGAGAGAGATAATTTTTAATATTTATTTTTTAGTTCTCGGCGGACACAACATCTTTATTTGTAATGTGGTGCTGAGGATCGAACCCGGGCCGCACACATGCCAGGCGAGCGCGCTACCGCTTGAGCCACATCCCCAGCCCCTGACTGCCATTTTCATTTCCTGGCCGGCACCCAGCCCTTCTAGATTCCACTCCCCCCACCCCATGTCCATTCTGCTCCCACTGTGGATTCCTTCTTCTGCCAACTCCAACCCTGTGCATTTCCAGGAACCTCAGCCTGATGATCGTGATCTTCCATGGAACCAACCAATTCTGTCCACTCTTAGGACTCTTTGTTTCCAGCCCAGTGACTTCAGCCCAGTTCCTGTGTCTTCTCCTTAGAAATTCCAGCTCTCAGTCACAGATTGCCAACAACTCAGTGTGTTCCCCCCTCCACACCCCACATCTGCCTTTTCCCTAGATCATTTAGCCCCGGGTTTATACTTGTGGCTGGCATCAACTTGGGGCAGTCTGTAGCCATTATTTCTTAGGATACTCTGTCTTCCTCTTCCTCTCTCTCCTTGTTCTGGGGCATCCACAGTGTATATAATAGTCGACCTGACAGTGTCCCACAGGCCCACAGGCTCAGTTCACTTTTCTTCAATCTTTTCTTTTACTGTTCCTTAAAAAACTCTATTTTTCTATCTTCAAGTTTGCTCATTATTCTGTCTGCTTAAATCTCACTATCCATCTGCTGAAGTTTTTGATTATTTAACTTTACAGTTGCAGAATTTACTTTATTTATTTATTTATTTGGGTATTGGGGATTAAATTCAGGGGCACTTAACTACTGAACCTTATCCCTAGCCTTTAAAAAAAAATTATTTGGAGACAGGGTGTTGCCAAGTTTGCTAAGGCTGGCTTTGAACTCACTGTAGTCCTACCTCGGCCTTCTGAGTTGCTGGGAATAGAGGTGTGCTCCATTGCTTCAGGCTAGAATTTCTATTTGGTGTCTTTTTCTTTTAGTGGTCTTTCTATGGACATTTCCATTTCATTCATACATAACCTTGAGGGGTTTCTGCAAGTTTGCTATTAGTACTTTGAACATTTTAAGGATAGTTTTTCAAAAGTTGTTGCCTGCTTGTTCCACCTTATGGCCTTTCTCAGGGTGGATTTTGTTGGTTTATTTGAACTTTGAATGGATCATACTTTCCTGTTCCTATATGTGCCTTTTCACTGCATTTGAAAACTAGACATATGAATATAATAATGCAATAACTCTTGAAATTATGTTCTCACTGGTCCCAGAATTTGCTGGCTTCATTTTTTTTCTTGTAGTGGTCTGTTTTAGTCAGCTTTTTCACTTCTGTGACGATAAAGATCCAACCAGAACAACTGTAGAGAAGGACAAGTTTATTTGGGGGCTCCTGATGTCAGAGGTCTCAATCGATAGACAGCAGATCCATTCTTTAGGGCTCAAGGTGAGGCTGATCATCATGGTGGAAGAGTGTGGTGGAGGGAAGCAGCTCACCTGATGATCAGGAAGGAGAGAGAGAGAGAGAGAGAGAGAGAGAGAGAGAGAGAGAGAGAGAGAGAGAGACTCCACTC